AGTGCTCAACAACAATACATGATTTCCCTCAAAGATGCAATTCAGCAACTGCCCAGTGGCTTCTATTGTGTGTAAGTATAGAGAATCACATCTAAATTATTGTTAGTGATAAAAAAGTGTACCCTACAGATGCAGCAGATAGAGATTAGGCTAAAAAATGCTGTAATTTTCCTTTGAAGTGAACAATTTCCAGTCTTGGCTTTTCTGCCTACTGGTTTAGTTGTTCACTGCACTGTGACAATATGGCTCACATCTGAAACAAAGGACTTCAGAGAGCCACATCAAACTAAGCTAATTCACTGCTCTGGCGGAAAGTGAACCAACCAGTGTTGGAATACAGCCCCTCCCTGGCATGGCACATGTGATATGTCTACAAACATTTTTATAACCATCTCTGTGGTTACAACATACAGGTCTCTGTTAAGCTTGGTCTAATTGTTCTCTAACCGTACAGTTTTTCCATGAACATTTGCCACTGCTTAAACAATTGCTCCAGCAATTAAGTGTTAATTTCTCTCCATACTCTTCTCACACGCTTATTACAGATTGTAAAGCACATACTTATATTCACTTTTAACAATGACAAAAGCATACGCTGTGTACACTATCATTCAAAAGTTAGAGATAACTTGTCATATTAATAATTACTGTTACTTAATTCAATATTGAAATACCATAAGCTAGAAACCAAAAGGTTGTTTTGTTTTTGGGGACTATGAGGAGTCCAGTTTGATCACTACTTTTTACATATGAGGCATTCAGTTATTAATGAATCATCTACTCTGTTTATCATTCTGGACCATGGTTGCCACCCATTCAGTTTTTACCAAGTCTGTTTTTTAGGTTGCAAATGTCTGGTTTTAACTGTCATTGGTCTGTTTTTTGCAGTGTTCTCCCGACCCTTGCAGAAAAGTCATATATATTTCACGTTTAGTGTGCAAGAACCAAATACGTTCACAAGTAGTAACACATTTTTTCACATGTGAACGTTTTCACATGTATTCACATTTTAACATGCAAAAACCACACATTTTTTCACATGTGGAATTCATGTGTTTTTTTGTGGAGAACACTTCCACAGTCATTTTTGTGCCATTGTGTCATATTGGCAAAAGGCATAATTGCCTTTTTTCAATCATTAATAAGTCATAGAGAGTGCTAGCATAAGTCACAGTGTCTGTCAGAAATGAGTAATTAACAAGAAGTGTCAAATTGACAAAGAAAGAAATCCCCAAAAAGAAACAGTACGACTCTCACCAAGAAGAATGGCTTAAAAATGAAGAATTCAAAATATCTTCAACATCTGCAAAATGCACTTTACTATTAAATATGACAGTATTTCTCTCACAAGAGCCCAAACTTTGGATCAGTATAAATGGAAGTGGCATTCTTAGCAAACCAATCAATGTCTGTCAAAATTCTTGCTGAAGGAACTAACATTATTATAGTATCACAGAATTAAGTACCAAATCAGCTACTTATTTCAAGTATGACTGATAATCACAAGGTTTGCAAACTTCACATCACACACTATCCCTATGTTTCTTCTCACATTCAGGTTAGGAGTAGTTTTATTATTATTATTATTATTATTATTATTATTATTATTATTATTATTATTATTATTGATATGAGCAGTGATGATGTATTCAGATGAACCAGCAGATGTATTAGATATTACTACTGCTACATATTGTTATAAATCAGAATTCATTGTAATAAATCAATTAATGAACGTTTTTAAAATTGGCCCTTAAAGTCGTTCCGATCTTTGAAATATAGTCTAACTAAAGAATAAAGGTTACTGTTGGTATAGATCAGGCAGAATCTAAAGAATCTGAAGAATCATTGTAATTGTGAAAAGTACCATTATTATTATTAGGAACATGTTTTACAATAGAAATAACAGATGTGGTGTAAATTCCCCCACAGCAAGTCAAAATATATCATTAATAATGAAACATTGGAAAGCATTCTAAAAAGAAACATGCTGAAATGGACAGAAAGTGAATTCCACTTTGGAAGATCATATTCTGCTTTCTTTCTCACTTTGCATTTAGTACTTGGCAACATTTTTCTTTGATACCATAAAAAAGTGTCTAAATTATTTCCATCAGGTCTGCATGCCATAAGTTTCACTCCTCCCCAGCCTGTGCTGGAGCAACACCCTGACTACATAGCTTTATACCCAAAACCACAGACAGACCCAGAAAAGCTACAGGCCTAAGAGCTGGCTGGAGGTTCACCCCTGCATGACGTAAAGCTTCTCTGTCCTGCCTCTGTGTGCCTGTCCCTCCTGGACAGAGCTGGGAGCACTCTCTGCACACGTCCCAAACCCACAGCCTCCCCCCAGGCCAACGCTGCATCAATGGACCCTCAGTGCGGTGGTAGCGTTAGTCCCTAGTCTGCCAGCACCACTGCCAGCCACAGTGAGCTGATGGGGACTGCTGGAGCTTCTGCCAACTCACAGCCATTCAAAAACACAGCAGAGAGAAAAAATACTGCTTACTATCACATACTCATAAACTGAGTGGCTGGAGAGAGGGCCTGAGGGCCTTACTGGAAATGAAGGAAGACCCAATAATGATAATAATATTCCTAAAGATATATTTAAAACAGCAAAGATTCTACTATAACAGCAAAGTTGAACATGGTGTTTTAGAGTGTGCTCTGTCCAAAGAAATAAATGTGAAGTCTTGCTCTGAAAGAACTTGGTAGGATTTTGGAGAAGCAGAATATACAGTATTGTGTAAAAGTGCTGACCAGTCATTTAATGTCCAGTCAAAATGGCTATTAACTAGAGAAACTGGAGATATTTCTGATGCGATTAGATTTAAGATGAAACACTTGAATAAAGAAGGAAAAAGTCAAAGAAAATAACCCAAAAAAAGGGGTCTCCAAAATTGGGTCTCCAAAAATGATTACAAGACTTTAAAGAAGATTAAAAGAAGACAGTACTCCTAGCAACCGGGCTAGACCACCAAAACTGTGACCATCAGTTAAAGAGTACTTGAAGCTTTCATCTTTGAGGAGAAAATCAAGCTCCACTCTTGCTTCAGATCTGAAAAAAAATCTATAGGTGTTTCTGTCCATCCTTCCAAAGTTAGAAGTGCAAGGGGTCTGAAAGAATGTACAGCTATCAAGAAGCTCTTACTGAGAAAATAAAACAGATAAAAAAGAAGAAAATGTGTAAATCAAGCAAAGAAGCTGCTGTTTTCAGAGCAATGGAATGGCCACCTCAGAGTCCAGACCAGTATTTAGACCATTATTTAGTGCGTTTTGTAATATGTGAGAAGCAGAAAATGCAACCAAATTATAAGACTGAACTTGGCAGGTGTGGAACAACATGCAGATTTCCTGAAAGAACTGAAAGCAAGTGTTCCAAAAAGAATGGAAACTGTAATAAATACAAAGTGTGGACACATTAGTCGTTGAGGCTTCTGCAAAATTTTCTTTTAAATATATATTTTCTGCTTTTCCCCTGCCACTAAAAAATGAATAACTTGTACTTAATAGCCGCATTATCTGAAAATTAAATAAATGAAGGGTGAGATCTGACTTTTGCACAGTACTGCATGTTCACTAAGAATTAGAGCAGGATTTTCTGCTTCATACATAGGATTTATTAGCAGAACTGGCTAAAAGGTTCTTATTATTTTATTTTTAGAGTCTAAGGGCACATGAGGCAAGCCTGCCACTCTCCTGACCAGCAGTGCGAAATAATCAATTTTTCCGGCTATGCAGGTACAGTGAGGTCTGTTACAAAATGCAGTAGGAAAAAGGCTAAAACATGGAGAAAGACAGGCCCATACCAAAGTCATAATTCACGCTATAGAATCTTGTATATATGCTTAAAAATGAATGTACATGAACTTAGAAGTGGGCAAGTCTGTTTCAAGGAACAAATTCAATTTGCATTTGTGGACCTTTTTGTTCTTGGAGGGAGTGCATTCCTCAAGGGTTGTGCCAGTGGAGATTTAGCTTTCTTTTTTTGCACTTACTTTATTTTATTTATTTATTTGTGAGCCATATGTTTTGCCCAGGGAAACAAAACTCTGTGAGCAGCTCACGCCGCACATAACACATATGGGGAGCAGACAGTAACCTTTTAGATAAGGTCATCCTTACAAATAAAGCACTATTAAGAGACACGACAATAAATGCCAAAGGAGAAGCGGACGGTGATGAAGCCCCGGATCTGACATCCAGCACCTTGCCCTTTAAAGATGCTTGTTATTCTGAGCAATCAAGATGCAGCACTGATTTATTTAAAGCTGCGCTTTTTAAGTCGCCACCGTTAAAGACAAGCCTGAGGAGCCTGTCCACACAATCGCTTTTGAGAATAAGAGGATGTGGCATGCTATCGGAAAGATAGACTGGTCAGAGTTCTCAGCACGTTGCCATGCAACAGCGCAACTTCCTTTTAGTTTAGACCTTCCCCGTGCAATGCACACTTATAAATGCTCACAATACAGAGGTAAACATTGACTTTGGGCTGTGCATTCACCACTACATTGGCTGTCAATAAAGGAGGAAAATAATCAGAAATATTTTTCTGAAGAATATGAAGGCAGGTTGTAAAAGTGGCCAACTAGCACGTTCATCACAGCATTGATATTTTCCTGTCACCTTCAGAGAGAGAAATGCTTTTCTAGAGGCATGCATCCAATACCCCCGAGACTCTGAGGAAAGAGCACGCGGGATTCCAGCCACGGCAGACAGGCAGATCAAAGCCCTCTGCTCCTGCTCTCTGCATCTCAATGGGCAGCACTCTACCGTCAACACTGCAGCCTCACATCCTCGTGTAACATTTGCACATCTTTGACTTTGTCAGTCCTGCGAGAAGCCACTGAATATGGCCAAAAGACCTCTTCCACTCCATCCCTAAGCTCTGTTAATTCAGCTACGTGACACAGGGCTATGCAACTGCCCCCACCCCATAGCAGAAGGGCGCTCCCCGTTCTTATCTGCTGTAGAAATACACCATGTTAAAGGTGGACTGCGACATTCACAATTTATTGCACAGTTGTTCTCATACAGTGTGTTATCTCTGCCACATTTTGGTCTGCGCATTTTTATCACCATTCTCTTTGTGGAGCTGACAAGACCCTTGCAAAAATATGGACAACATTCAGTTGTGTTAAAGCAACAGCCAGGCATAACAGGACCAGTGATGATTCTTTTGTATTTGATGAAGTCACTGAAGTACATAATATGGTCTTTCTCATCAATCCGTCAGCAACAGTACATTGCTTGCTCTTTGCATTAAATTCCCTTGTGCTATTGTTTCTAGATAAATTAGGAACTCTATCCATATGAATTCAAGGATTTTTGGAATTTAGTGCAAATTTGAACAGTATGCAGGAGGGAAACAATAACCTTAACACCAATCATAAGGCAACATTTATAAATATATCAAAAATAGTCATCCACAACTATCTTTGTTATCAAAATGGTACAAAAACTTTGTCCGCCACAAGAGAGAGAGACATATTTTTCAGTTCCTCGGCAGATTTGACACTTTTATAGCCCAATGTTTGCAGGACTTTTTGACACACGGTCTGTGTGTAGTCCACCATGTCAAAGGACAGTTTGAGCCTCCAGCTTTCGGCATTAGCTGCAGAGTCTCTCACTGTTCCATATTTGTGTTTGGCTGAGAGCTCATTACTCCCTCTGGTGTTTGCCTGAATCCAATCCACCACATTCTTGTCCATAGACAGCCCAAGGTAGTCGTAGATATCCTTGGTTTTCTGAAGAGGGTTCCTCGCTAAGTCCTCATATCGCACCAACATGTATTTCCCCTTAAGCCAGTAGGGGTGGCTGAGACCTGTAGAAACTGAGCTCAAAAAGTCCTCACATACCACTGTCAGCTGAGTCAAGTCCAAGTTGTAAGGCTTCCGCCCTGTTGCTCTCCAAATTCTCCACAATCGGTAAGTGTCCCGGAAGGTCTCGATCCGTGACGCAAGAATACCCCGAGGGTCTCTGACCAGCTGGATCACCTTCAAGTTCAGCCGCGGATCCTCCACCAGTGCCCGCAAATCCCCTATTTCAGGTACCCGCACGATCTTGATGGCAACGTGCCGCTTATCCCTGCAAGACTCAGCTGCAAGGGTCATGTTGAGAGTTGTACACTTCTTGACGCAGTCGCCCTCTTCCACGTTAGCCTCCCCAGGACTGAAGGCATCACAGACCGGCTGGGAACAGAGCGCCCGGCTGGCCCCCCGGCGGAACAGCTTGTCCGTGGTGTGGTTTGTCGGCGGTGGCTTGATGTAGCTCTCCAGAAAGTGCAAGTCACAGCCGTAGAGGCTTCTGAGCAAGTCCCGACTGGCCCCCAGCATCACCCTCCTGTCAGCAGTGTTCCGGCTGTGTGAGAGGCGAGGGATCAGGGCCGTTTGAACATGGTAAAGCGGCTCAAACAGGTAGAAGATATCGGAGTGCTGGTTCAACAGCTGCCCCACAAACGACGAGCCGCTGCGGGTAGTGGCTAACACCAGGATGTGGGTCTTTCGAGAGGCGTTAAAGGTGAAGTAAGCATACTCATCACATCCACGCTCAAAGGTGGAGTCCGTTTCCTGCGCCCCCAAGCCACAATTCTGCGGGATGGACACAGGGCAAAGCTGGAAAGGCTTGGAGGTGAAGGTCCGGATAGCTGTGTACTGGATGGCAATGGAGACCAAGGCTAGCAGGATCACAGCCTTCCAAGAACATTGCATGGCTGGGAAACTTCATTTAGACTCTGCGGACTGGAGCTGATCCTATCTGGAGTGCAGAGAAGGAAACGTTTCATTACTGCCATGCAGGGATATGACCAGGAGCAACACAGAGTGAGCATTCATGCCTTCCAATGACCACAGAAGAGCAGGCACCAGTAAACACAGCGGGTGTTTTCCTTTTGCGAGGCACGCATAGAGAACACTGCTGTTCAGTCTAGGGTAAAACATTCACATGGAAGAAATACAATTTATTAACGCTTTAAAAACAAAGTGACATCAGTCTACATTTTTTATTTATATATTTCTTGCCACATATTCACATGATGTTTTTGTTCTAATCCACGGATAACGGAAGTGTGCGCACACATATCCCTACCAGTTACAAGGTTCCATTGAATTTATCACGGTATCGGTATCTATACCAGCATTACTGCTTATAGACTAATGTTAAATAAGGAACTGCATATCTGGCAGAGACATTTCACTCTGTATATGAACACTGACTCATTTGTCTGTGGACAGTGACTCATTTTTTTATTGCCTTTCCTTACTGGTTGTAATTTCCTTCAAAATAGATGCTTTCCTTATATTTTGTACATATTTTGTAACAGATATTACACACACACAAAAAAAAAAACACACAAAAAAAAAAATCATATAACACACATTTAGGGGCGTACATTTGCTGTCTTTTATTAACGGTGTTTATAGCTTCTAGTTTTCAGTTTACAACAGCAAAAGCCCAGATGAAAAACCAAATAAACTTACAGGGAAAGGCTGTAAATGGAACCAAACAGCACAAAGACTGGACATATAAACAAACAGAAAGCCCGAATAAAACACTGATATACAGTAATACAAAAAAGCTGCAGATGTAACCTCACTACAGATAGAATGGAGATATAGCCGAACTCATAAAGACTGTGGCTCTGTAACCTAACAGCAGAAAGACTGGAGTCTGGATCAGGTGCGTGATAAAAGCGTTACCAGCCCGGTCTAAATCAGCAATGCAGCCTGCATCCTCACCCACACGGGACTCAGTCCAGATCACAAACACTCACCTCCCTGATGGCGTTAGAGCTGATGTTGTGGAATCGTGGCGTGTAGCTGTGGAGCAGCAGCCTCAGTCAGCGCGCGCAGATCCACTCCGCGTCCACGCGCAGCCTCCCGGCCTCCCCCCGCCGACAAAGCAGGAGAAACGGAGCGCTGCCCATCCATATAGCGTCACGCGCGCGCCATCACTAAAGCCTCAACGTCTTCTGCCGCGGGTGAGAAAGCATCGCCGAGCGGCGGTCAGTGCTCGCGACTGGACCTGTGGGAGCGCGCGGAGGAGATGAGGGAAAATTTCCGGAGTGATGCGTAGGAGCTGCGCGCGCGTCAGACTGAGAGAGCAACTGCCGAAAGGCTGGACCACCCCAATAGAAGCTTCCCCCCTTTCTCTCTCTCTCTCTCTCTCTCCCTTCTTATGCGCTGTCTCTCTCTCGCTCTTTCTCCCTCTCCCTCTCTCCTTTCTTATGCGCCGTCTCTCTCTCTCTCTCTCTCTCTCTCTCTCTCTCTCTCTCTCTCTCTCTCTCTCTCTCTCTCTCTTTCAATTCAACTCAGAATGCTTTACTGGTATACATGATAATGGTACATTTGTATTGGCCAACCTTAAATTACAAAGTTGCAAGAACATTGCAAGAATAAATAAATAAATAAATAAATAAATAAATAAATAAATAAATGACAATAAATTAGGTTCAATAAATTGAACATTAGAGGATCAGTAAAAAATGAAAAAACTGAAACTCACTCTCTTACCCTCCTCTCTCTCTCTCTAATAATATGTTAGGAAATTGAACATTAGGGTATAAACAAACACTAGAAATTTTAAGTCTGTTATGTATTTATTATGTAGTATCATGTATTTATGTAGTTTGGCTAATCAGTGCTTCATTATATTAAATCCAGTGTGCTGCTAATGGAATCCAACAAATCTATGTGATAGCTGAGGGCACTGAGGAAACATCTGGTACAAAGCTTTGTTTTGCAAAGTACCGCACAAGATATCAACCAATTTTTTTCTTCAAAGTAAGATTTAGAGTAAGAAGAATGAAGTTTGAAGTTTCTGTAAATGTATTCTCATAAGATGATGAGGAACAGTTGTAATAATGGTCAGGAATCATTTTTGATCAATGAAATTCTGAAGGATTGAAAGCAAAGTAGCATGCTGAGAACACACTGAAGGTACCCTGGCATAAATGTTGTGAAAACTGTGATTTTCGATTTTTGGAAAATAAAAAACCATACATGTAGTTTGACAGTTACTATACTGTGGATGAAAAACAAATGTAGTATATGTAACTTCAACAGCTGAAATGTACCAGCAACATCTGCTGATTCATGTGCATTTTTATTTTAAGTTGTGCCATTCAGAGTCAGAGCTCAGCTTGTCCACTATAGCCTCTGGTTAGAGCTGTTAAAATGAGGGTAAACTCAAAAGTTTGTGTCCAGAGTTTGATGAGCAGCCAGCTTGCATCAGCAGCATTACAAAGACTGCTGCATCTGAGAAAAAGTGTCTGTAGGGATACAACCAATTTATTTATAGGATTATGGGTGGAATGGATAACCAACACATCAGTATAAACTGAGCAGAATGAAACATTCAGTGTCACATTAAACATTAAATTGAAAGAAATTAAGCAGAAATCAGACTCTTCACAAATGTTTTACTATAATACAGATGTGCAAACATGCAATCACATTGTCAGCTTAATTAACATCAGATTTACAGTGGATTTCTGAAAGTATGGTTACAGATACATCCATCTCTTGAGTTGAAATTATGGCTTTCGAAGCCAGTGCATCAATAACACATCAATAATTTGCCATAATACAATAAATTATTAATGACACCATTTTTTTCCCTAGTTTGACCCTTTGAACCATCTGTAGTAGTTCAGACTGAAGCTCAGCTGTTTGCACACTGGAAACTGCTATGATAGACTCTGTGGTTGTAGCTCCCTCATTCAAATACAGCTTTTAAATGACTTTTAAAGTGATACCCTCAGCCCCTTCAGCAGATGATGCTGGACAGTGCTTCCAGGAGAAAGATAAATCAACGAGCAGCAAACTTACAAAAGCAAATGGAAAACTCCAGCTCCAGTTCCCCTCAAGAACCACCTATTTTAGAATGGTTTAAATCATATTTAAAGAATAGACTGATCTTGGTTTCACTGGAAAATCACGCATCAAAAAAGCTTATAATTTTATAATCAGTCTTAGGGTCTTTGCACATTTGAGAAATATTGCTAAAGTTCAGCTTTTTCTATCTCAGAGTGAGACAGAGAAACTTGGTCATGTATTTGTTGCAAGCAGAGTTGATCACTGTATTGCTCTTCTTACTGGACTACCTATGAAAACAATACATCCCTTACAACTCATACATAATGCATCAGCACAGATCCTAACAAAAACAAAAAACAGAGCTCAAATTACTCCCATTCTGAAAGAACTGCACTGGCTACCTGTATCTTTCAGGATAGATTTCAAAGTTCTGCTACTAGTTTTTAAGGCTCTAAATGACCTTAAACCACCACTTACATCAAAGAGTTTCTGTCTGTTTATGTTCCAACACGTGGTCTAAGATCTGCAGATACTGACCTTCTACAAATACCTTCTGTAAAATACAGAAAACACAGAGAGACTCACTCAGTTATTATGCTTCTACACGGTGGAACTCAATTTCAAGCTCAGTGCACATTTTTAAGAAACATTTCAAAATGTTTCTCTTTAACTTAGCATTCAATAAAAATGTTTATGTCTCTTTGGTATTTCTCTTTTTAATTTGACCACTGTAATTATTTAATATGATTTGAAATGAATACTCATAGTTTCTTCTATTGCTGTTAAGCTTTATCACTTGTCTGTAAAGCACTTTGAGCTGCCTTCGGTATTTGATGCATTAAACTTGGAAATGGGGTGGGGGGCTGGGGGGGATAAAACATTTAAGTCTGTTTCTTGTAGAGGACATATAGGCACTTATTTTGACCAGGGGTGTTCAGGCATTTGCATATGATTGTAGCTACTATAATAAAGTGTATTGCTTTTCTTCTTTCTTTAAAGCCAAATTTGAGAAAAATATTATTCATTGCAGTGTGGTTAATTTTATTAATAATACCTGGCAGCCCAGGTTCAGAGCTGTTCTCATTATCTGTTTCATTTTTTATTCTATGAATACCCAGCTTAATTGTTTGTCTGGAAAATTGAGAAATGAATGTAGTGTTGTTCTGCAAGCCCCCAGAGTCCATTTTCCTGACTGAATGGCAATCAACTCTGATATCTTAATTAACGTAATGAAATTTCTCTGCAACTTTGTTATCAGATTAAATAGGACACAATGTGTGCAGCTTTCCTGTAAAAATTATGTACAACAAAAAATAACATTTAAACACAATAAAACACTGGCTTGACTTGCTTGCTCACCTAAAAACATGAAAATCCAGATCACTTTTGGTTTTGTTAATCATACACATTTCCATTAGGTATATCCCATTAATGTTACTGAAGGAACAACAAGAAAAAAGCATACTTCATTAGTGTCTAAATCAGGCAGAAATTGCATGTTATGGCTACTGTGGAAATATATTCAAGTAAATACACCCTGATTGTGTCTTCAAAGGTGTTTACACATTAAAAAAAAATACAATATAGATTATTTCAGCTGAATGTCAGTAAATATTCTTTTTGATGGGTAATAGTCACTGTATCTAGATCTCTGCACTGCTTCTTGATTTATTTCACTCACTGTGGAAGGTCTCCTTAAATCCTTGATATTTGCCTAATTTATTTTCTGCTTCAAAATATGCAGCTGACATATTCCACATCTGAGTGATTGAATTTCAGAGCAAAAACTCTGAAAAGACCATTTTATCGCACCAAACATCTCATCCTAACAGAACTCATGAAGAATGAACATTTGTATCAGCCTATCAAGGAGCCTGCACACCAGAAACTGCTTCAAATCTCACCTTCTAAGACAGGCCCTGTCAGAAGCAAATCTATGTGATCCCCAGTGTAATCGGCATGGATTCTGATTGCAATTACAGATAGGTATTTGTGCAGGTTTGGCTAGGTAATTACTCAGTGTTATCGCCCAGCTTGAGATGTCTCTGTGAAAGTGTAGAGTTAGAATGGAGAATATTTATGTAAAAAATTGCTGTAAAGGAGACTTCGTTTGAAGTAAGTGAACCACCCTGAATACCTCCCAGTACAGCCTCAAACCAGTGGCTACACTAGCAAGAGCAATGCCTTTAACACCTTAAATGGTCAGGGCCTACCAGCAGGCCCAAAGTTTTATTACACACTTCTATAACCTAAGAATAGCTCAGCCACTTTTGCATTGAAGGCCCTGTAGTTACTGAATAATAGGCCTTACTGTGTAATAAGCCTGAGATTATAAGGGGTTAAAACTCTTTCATGCTAGCAGTGTGTCATGGACAGTTAGTCAGCAAGTTTGAATTGCATTTATTTGCAATTAATCACATTAATTTGTCTATCTAACTGCAATGATCCACATTTGCTTTATTTTATTTTATTTCATTTTAAAAAACAATGCATTTTCTTAAAGCTATATGTGTGGACAATATTATCATCAGTACTTATTGCCTTCAATAATTCCACTTGAACCTGAACATAAAATCACATGAACACAGGATCAAGATAAAAACCAATGTGAACATACTTTCCAGTTTTCAATACCAACATCCAGTGAGAGCCTCTGTGATTGTAACCTCTCAATCTTATATGTCTTGTTTCAAGTGGGATTGGAGCATTCCACTTTGCTGTTGATTTTGTTAGTTTTTCGTTTAATAATTCATACATTGTCCCCCTGCAAGCTCTGTCCAGTGTAGTTTGCCAAAGCCATCCTCCAGTGCTGATATTACCGATGTTACTGGTATTTCTCCATCAATGGTTTATTTTATTTGTAAGTCATACTTTGGACTTGACGTACTTCAGTGATAAAAAAATTCAAGACATTCCAATAGTTGGAAATAACTTTGGTTTCATCAAGAGAGTGACAAAGTGTCTGAGTATACAGGGTTTCAATGCATAAGTGCCCCTTCTACTTAGCAAATGAAGCCCTGCCTCATTTTCTCAAGGTTATAAGCACTTGCCGC